GATCATAGCTATAACTACTGCTACCTTCATTACGCAAATGCTCAACCGGTAATTCAATCTGATTACTACTGCTACCTTCATTCCTACAACTACCATCTTCTCCATGTTGATACCAAATATAATAATATGGCATGAAACCTCTATTTATTAAATGCTTCCAAACATTTTCACGAGGGCCTAATTTGCTATTGCAGCATTTGCGACAAGGACAGAACATCTTATCACTTTCATGCGTGAGTGGTGTAGAATCTGCTTGATGCATGAACGTCTCCAACCCTTCAAGAAATTCGTTCGTCACCCTCCCGTTATTATCTCTGTGTGAATACATCCACTGCCGCAACTCGAAAATATTTCCCGGACCGGACATTTTTTTGTGTTTGATCAAGTTTATATCTAATTTTTTTTTGGTGTGTTTCAAATGAATCACATAAGGTGGTATTTATAGAAATTTTCGAATCTGAGCATTTACTAGGAAATTGCTAGGAAAAGTAGGTACAAAACATGTGTTTTATTTAAATTCGATATTTTTTATCTATTTCCTCCTAATTTCGTAGTAAGAAACTATTTCCTCCTAATTTCGTAGTAATATTTTACTACGCCTTTACGAGGAAAGTGTTTACTACGGCATTACGAGGAAAAGTACTTTTTCCTCGTAAGCTCCTCGTAAATTTACTAAGGTCTTACGAGGAAAGTATTTCCTCGTAAGTTTTCGAGGAACTTACGAGGAANTCTCCGAGGGCAACCCAAGACTATATACCAATTTCTGAATCTGATAATAAGATTCAGCAGACACATTGTCTTCTGGCAAATACTCTTTAAACAAGTCTGCCCATGCATCCATACAATTTTCAGGTAGATTGTGATCGGTTTTAATACTCATCATTCTAGCAGCCAACGACAATTTAGATAGACCTTCTCTACAACCACTCTAAATTGGCTCATTTGCAGCTTCTAACATTTCGTAAAACTTTTTTGCATCTAAGTTAGGTTCTTCAACTTCATCATCATTATGAGTTACAAATGCATCACCTACCATATCATGAACCCTATCACAATCTACCATTTGTTCCTCTTGGTGATGATCATAGCTATAACTACTGCTACCTTCATTACGCAAATGCTCAACCGGTAATTCAATCTGATTACTACTGCTACCTTCATTCCTACAACTACCATCTTCTCCATGTTGATACCAAATATAATAATAT